ACTGAACCTCTGTCTGACACGATCGTGTCTGGAACTCCATGAAGTCGAACTATCTCCCGAATAAATATCCTCACGTATGCCTCGGCACACGATCGTGTCTGGAACTCCATGAAGTCGAACTATCTCCCGAATAAATATCCTCACGTATGCCTCGGCGGTATAAGTAGTCCTCATTGGAATAAAATAGGCTGACTTCGTTAACCGATCCACAATCACCCAAACGGAGTCGTTCCCCTTCTTCGACTTCGGCAACCCTATAATAAAATCCATAGAAATGTCCGCCTACTTCCACTCTGGGATGGGTAAAGGCTGAAGTGTTCCTGCCGGTCTCTGATGCTCTACCTTCACCTGCTGACAGGTAAAACACTTAGCCACATACTCTGTAATCTCTCGACGTATACCACTGCACCACAAGTGTCTCTTCAAGTCCTTATACATCTTAGTGGTTCCTGGATGTACTGTATACCTAGTACGATGTGCCTCATCAAATAATTCTCTTTTCAGCTCGGCACTGGATGTCATAACTAGCCTACCCTTCATCCGTAGACCTCCATCCACTCTAATGGTCCAATCAGCCTTAGGCTCTTTGGAAATCTCCTCCTTTCAGATTTGAATCCAAGAGTCTTCTAGCTGAGCTCAAACTACTCTGGTACTCCAAGATGGCTGAACTGACATAGCTCCCAAAAATACACTGGCTCCACCAATCTCGGGTCTAAAATCAAACTGGCTAAGAGTAAGAAGATCTCTATACAATGAACACCTCAAAGCCGTAACCCGATGTCGACGCTTCCTACTCAAAGCATCTGCTACGACGTTCGCCTTCCCGGGATGATACTAAATCACGAACTCGTAGTCCTTGATAAACTCAATCCATCTCCTCTGTCTCTAGTTGAGTTCCTTCTGAGAGAAAAGATACATCAGACTCTGGTGGTCTGTGAACAACTCAAACTGTACTCCATACAAATAGTGCCTCCACGATTTCAATGCAAATACCACTGCTGCTAACTCTAAATCATGAGTGGGATAGTTCTGCTCATGCACCCTCAACTGCCGTGATATATACGCTACTACTCTCTGAGTCTGCATCAATACGCCTCCTAAACCTGCTAACGATGCATCTGTGTAGACGACGAACGTCCTGTCGCTACTCGGAATAGTCAAAACTGGTGCTGAAGTTAACTTAGTCTTTAAGATATCAAAGGCCTTCTGGCATTCTATACTCCAAATGAACTATACACCTTTCTTCGTAAGGCGTGTAAGTGGCATTGAAATCTTCGAGAAGTCCTGGATGAACTTCCTGTAATAGCCGGCTAAGCCCAAGAAGCTACGAATCTGTATCACCGTCTTCGGTGGTTCCCAATCAAGAACTGCTATCACCTTAGCCGGATCCACTGCTACGCCCTCCCTACTGATGATGTGGCCAAGAAATCTGACTTCTGAAAGAGAAAATTCATACTTGCTGAACTTGACATACAACTGATGCTCCTGTAGAGTCCTCAAAGCTAATCGTAGGTGCTCCTCGTGGTCTGCCTCCGATCTCGAATAAATGAGAATATCATCGATAAAAACAATCACGACCTGATCTAAGAAGGGACGGAAAACCCGGTTCATCAAGTCCATGAATACCGCGGGTGCATTAGTCAGTCCGAATGGCATGATCATGAACTCGAAAGATCCATATCGAGTAAGAAAGGCGATCTTGGAAATATCCATCTCCCGAACCCGCAACTGATGATAACCAGAACGAAGATCAATCTTCAAGAAGAACTGCGCTCCCAGCAGCTGGTCGAACAAGTCATCAATCCTAGGCAATAGGTACTTATTCCGGATAGTGACATTGTTCAACTCCCTATAATCAATGCACAATCTTATACTACCGTCCTTCTTCTTCACGAAGAGGACTGGTGCGCCCCATGGAGAATAACTCCGACGAATAAAACCCTGAGCTAATAACTCATCCAACTGGGTCTGAAGCTCCCTCATCTCAGTTGGTGCCATGCGATAGGGTGCGCGGGATATTGGGGCTGTGTTTGGCTGTAACTCAATACAGAACTCAACCTCTCTCACAGGAGGTAATCCAGGTATGTCCTGAAAGATATCCTGATACTCTGAGACAACTCTAGTCTCCAATAAATTAACACCCTGATCCCGTCGCATCACCTCCTCGATGTACGCCAGAAATGACTCCGTAAAACGGTTGTCCTGAGAGGTTGCCATAATCATCTCGGACCCATCGGACGCCCGCAAATTGACTGTCTTCGCAAAGCAGTCAATACTAATATGGTAGGAAGACAACCAATCCATACCAATGATGACATCGAACTCGGCCATATGCAACACTATCAAATCAACCACGAACTCCGACTCATCTAGACTGATAGTACACCTCCTACAAATGCTCTCCAGAAGCGATATCTCACCTAAAGGGGTGGAAAATGATAAAAGGGTGTCTAATGGCCGTGCTACGAGCTAGAGTCTAGACATAAAATCATACGAAATGAAGGAATGCGAAGCTCCCGAATCGAAGAGAACACGGGCGGGAAAAGAATTCACAAGAAACGTACCCTCCACCACTGCTCCGCTAGCTCCATGATTACACGGCACTACCGCATATCCCCTGCCAGTGGCTGGAGACTGCTCTGCTACTAGTGCTGGAGAATATGTCACTATCTGCCCCTGAGGAACCTCCTGAACTGCACGAATATGCCCCTCCGTCCTCTGTGCTGCTGGCGGTGCCTCAAGTCTCGCCTGCTGGCCCTGAACTCTGCTCTGCTGTCGTTGCTGCTGCTGGTTCGGGCCCTTGCCATGCTGAGCTCCTGCTGGTGCGCTACGACACTCCGATGCCTTATGTTTGACCTTGCAACAATTAAAACAAACTCCCTAAAACTTGCGCTACTGATGCGCTCTCTGATCATGCTGGAGTCCCTTCTTATGAGGACCTTGCTGCTGCTGTTGGGATCCAGAAAAAGGCCTCTTCTTCTTCCCCTTATCCCCGGTCTGCCCTGCCTTGGTCTTCCCTTATCCTTCTGAAACATGGTAGTCTCAATCTCCTGAGAAGTGGCGGCCTCGGCTACCTCCCGAATTGAGAAGAACTTCCTCGAGATGAGATAACGACGGAGATTAGGGCGAAGCCCTGCTAGGAACATCTGAGCATGTCGCTCTCCTGTCTGCCACATGCCCGTGAAGTGCAGCAACTCCATAAATCTGCTCTCAAAATCTACCACTGACATATCCCCCTGAGTCAGCTGGGACAACTCAAGCTCCTTCCCAGTCCGTGCTGCAGAAGAAATATATTGCCCATCGAATAAATAAACAAAGTCCTCCCAGGTGAGGGTCATCCGGTGTTCTGGAGGTCGAATCATCGGAATCATCGCCTTTCGCAACATTCACCTCATTGGCCTTCGGGCCCTTATTCTTGCTATTCTCCTTTTCTTTGACTTTCGGGCAGTCTCTCTTCCAATGTCCCTGCTCTTTGCAGAATGCACATTGGTTCTTTCCAAGCTGGTGACGACCTCTTGACTTTGACCTCCCTCTATTTCCACCTTTCTGATATGAGCTTCTACCTCTCGTCGACAAGGCCTCTCCTGAAATACTAGCGCGGGAAGTCTCCTTATCCTTTCTCCTCAAATCATAGTTCGTCAATGCGTTAGTCACTTCACTATAAGTGATAGAAGATCTCCCGTTCAGCAACGTAAGCACGAAGGTATCATACTCCTCATCCGGTAAGGAGCCCAAAAGAATAATAGCCTTGTACTCATCTGTGATCTTCTCATCCACGTTCGCCAAGTCCGACAACAACTTAGTGTAGTTGTTCACATGAGCCGCAAGCGAGGTGTCTCTGGACATCTGAAATCTGAATAATCTTCGCAGCAAGTGCAACCTGTTCTCAACACTCTTCGTAAGATACTTGTTGTTGAGAATCTCCCACATCTTTTTTGCAGACATCACCCCAATCACATCATATTACAGTTCCTGTTCCAAACAGGACCTGATCACCCCGCAAGCATTTCGATTCATCTTTTTCCATATCGCCTCTTCATATTTAGGTGGCCTCACATCGACCATGATGGTCTCCTCCAGATTTTGAGCATTGAGCACATCTTGTACGTCGCTCATCCATAAACCAAAATTGATCTTGCCGTCATATTTCACTACACTAATCTTAGTGTTCTGAAAACCCACTTGAACTGTGCCTGTCATCTTGCTGCTTTCGCCAACTTCTTCACCCATAATCACAAATTCCAAATTGTAGAGAAAAATCCAAACTTTAAAAAGAATAAGAAATTACCCAACTGAACCCTAGATTGGATTCCAAATAGAACGCCTAACCACATGAGGAAAGCGAGATCTTCAACGGGAACTTCAAACCCTAACTCCACCGAAGCCTGGAACTCCAAGAACCAAGCTTCCAACTGAATCTTCCTCCACCTAATCCAAAACCCTAGATCTGAAATCTGAGCTCTGATACCACTTGTCGCGCGCCTATGCGGAAGCGTTGCACGCACACACAACGAACTTGAGATCACGGAAGAAGAAAGCCACACACTTCCACAAACCAAGCCAATTACGACAAATCAAACCAAACATAGAGATATACGTGGTTCGGCAATTGCCTACGTCCACGGGGAGAGGATGGGGAGATTTTACTATATGGAGGAGAAATACAACGGGTTACAACTCACAAAATCACTCAAATATAACCCTAACCAAAGCTCTCAACTCCCTCACAATATCCCCCTCTCAAAGTGCTCAAAACAATGCTAATTCTCTCCTTTTCTCTCCTTAAGAAATCCTAAAAAACGTGGTCCTATTTATAATAAAACACAATCCCAAACAAAGGAGGATTCCCATACAAAGGAGGATTCTAAAAACGAGTCTGCCACACCCTGCACCATGGGTGTGGCAGAGGGTGTGGTGCAGGACAGATTTTGCCACACCCTGCACCGTGGGTGTGGCAGAGGGTGTGGTGCAGGACAGATTCTACCACACCCATGGCAGACACCACACCAGGGTGTGGTGGAGTCTGTTTTGGGTTATTCTTCACATTTTTCATAATTCCTTCGCCGTTTTCACATGTGTTGTTACTAGATTTCTACAGGACGTTTTAATTGTCATGGTGCAGTGAGTATGCATTCTTCATTCTCCCCGCGTTACGCGGGGTTTTTTTGCTAGTTATGGAAGTGTTGCAATGTGCTACTTCTCAGCACCGGTGCATTAAGGAACTTCCATACCAATGTTTTTAGGTTTAAGGGCACACGGACCTCGTTTAGTACGACATTTTTGAACTCGTTACCTCTCTAGTTTCAAGTCGGCAGATAGAACCCCTGAGTGATATTTTTCTACTCTTTTACCCCTGAAAGTAAACTACATTTTCACCCAGGTAAAAGTACATACATGGGTAATAGCAACTTCATTAAAAGAGTAATTAAAAAAAAAGTTCGCTCAGGGGGTCTACAAGTTCAAAACTGCAGGAGTAATAAGTTCGAAATGGGCGGGCTATGTGCAATTAAGCAAAGAAAAGAAGCAATTAAGCAAAGAAAAGAAGAGCATTCAGCACCACTACTTTCTCTTGGGAAAGATTGTCAATAGAATTGACTCGTTGACAGATGCAACCAACTTAAGACTCCACAATTAGCAGTGCATCTTCCAGAAGCATGCCCACAAAAAAGACTCAGTCCACAAAGACTGCTCTCAGGTTTATAAGTAGTCCTCAGGTTTACAGAGAACCCATCTTTTTTTTCCTATTCCGTAATGGAGAGATTCCTTAACCTCCTCCTCGTCTTCTGCTTCAGCCATCTATGCTTGGCTTGCCAAGATAACGAGAGGCAAGCTCTTCTTACCTTCAAGCAAAGCCTAACTGATGACTGTAATCTGCTTTCAAATTGGAGAGGTGCTGACTGTTGCAGATGGAGAGAAGTGGGTTGCAGCAAAAAGGAGGGAAACGTAATCAAACTCAGCATTGGTCGCCTAACCGATGGTCAGTGTTACGTCTCTAGCAACTATTTCGATCACTCTTTGTCTACCTTGAAATATTTGCAGCATCTGGACTTAAGTAACGTGACATTCTCCTCGGGTGATATCCAGCAACTTGTTGGTTCCTTCACAAACTTGAGGTACCTCAACCTCTCGGGAACTGGTCTTTCTGGTAAAATTCCACACGATCTTGGAAACCTCACGTACCTGAAATATCTTGACATGTCCAGTGTGGACCTAACTCGAGCAACTGATTGGGTTCTTTTTGTTAGAAATCTCCCTTCTCTCTCTGTATTGAAACTGTCTCGGTGTAATTTGCCTTCTCCTCCTCTTGCTTCCGCTTCTTCTCCAAATGGCAATATCCCGTCTATCACAACACTTGATCTTTCGGGAAATTCTTTCGCTGATGGCGCTATATTTGACAGGTTTCTGCTCAGCCTTAGCAGCAGTCTCGTTCATCTCAATCTCTCTTCTTGCTCAATGAACGGGCCATTTCCTCGTTCCTTGAAGAACTTGACCTCTCTCAGAGTTCTTGATCTCTCCTATAACTATTTCAATGGGTCCCTTCCAAAGAGTCTCGGCAACCTCTCTCAGCTGGAAGCCTTAGATCTCACTGGCAATTTCTTACTTGGGTCTATCCCTGGAATACTCCAGCACCTCTGCAATTTGCGCAGCTTACTGCTCTCACGAAATTATTTATCTGGGAACATGTCTCGTATGCTAGAAGGTGAAACAAGATGCAAGAGATTTACTTTGGAGGAATTGGATTTGTCGTTTAACCAACTAAATGGGAGCTTACCTGATTGGGTTTGGCAAATGCAACACCTGAGCACACTCGATCTTTCTTATAACTCGTTAGATGGCGTTATTTCAGATACTCAGTTTGTCAATATGACAGAACTCAAAATTTTAAGGCTTTCTGGCAACAGGTTAATTTTTAACACGGCCTCCACCTGGGTTCCTCCTTTCAAGCTAAATATTATAGATTTGGGATCTTGCAGACTGGGGCCTCGGTTTCCTACATGGCTTCGGACACAAAGAGGATTTCAGTATTTGAACATATCAAATGCATTTATTTTCGATAAGATCCCCAGTTGGTTTTGGGATGCATCTTATGCCGCTGATCACTTGAAGTTATCACATAACAAGATAAGTGGTGATATTCATTCGTCGCTGAAATTTCTTAGCGCCACGACCATCGACATATGCTTCAATCTGTTTCAAGGAAAACTGCCTTCACTGAACTCTAATGTAAAAAATATTTTTCTGGATGACAACTTATTTTCAGGAGATACTCAACCAATCTTAAATGCGGAAATGCTGAATTTGAGGGATGTTACACTTTCAAAAAACCTTCTGTCCGGTGAAATTCCCTCCGCTATATGCAACTTCTCATCCATGCAACTCCTCGACCTCTCTAATAACAACATATCAGGAAATATTCCGGAATGTCAGTCAAACAAAGATTCGCCACCGTCACCTTATGTTATAAATTTGGCAAACAATTACCTCAGCGGTTCAATTCCTCAGTGGATGGCGGGTCCAGTTCCTCAATTGACAGCTGAATCCCATTTGACAGAATTACGTCTGAACAATAACAGTTTCGATGGTGAAATCCCTTCTTTCTTGAGATATTGTAACCGTATGACTATTCTTGATCTTGGAGAAAACAAGTTAACTGGGAAAATACCATCATGGATTGGAGAGGGTCTTTCATCTCTGAAATTTCTTCGCTTGCGCTCAAATATGTTAACGGGCAAAATCCCACAACAACTATCATATCTTACTTCTCTTCAAATGTTGGATCTGGCGCAAAATAATCTATCAGGAACCATACCAAATTCATTTAAGAATTTTAGTGCAATGACCAAAGTAAACAGGACAGTAGAAGGTATCATCAGCTATAGAGATGGTGCATCTCCTTCTGTGGAAATTGCATCGTCGAAATTTGAAGAGATAATAGAGGTGGAAATAAAAGGGAGACAACTTGACTACACAAAAACACTCTCTCTGGTTATGGTCCTCGATCTTTCATGCAATAACTTATCTGGAGAAATCCCGATAGAACTGATGGACCTCATCGGTTTGCAGAGCTTGAACTTATCAAAGAACCAGTTGGAGGGATATATTCCTGATAAGTTTGGCGGCATGGCACAACTGGAAGCTCTTGACCTGTCGATGAACCACTTATCCGGAAAAATTCCTGGGAGCATAGTTTTATTGACCGCATTAAGTTACCTGAATCTTTCTCATAATGACTTGTCAGGTAGAATTCCATCAGGCAACCAGATTCAGACTCTCACAGATCCATCCATTTATGCTGGAAACAGTGATCTTTGTGGATCCCCGCTACCCAGATGCCCAGGCGATGAACACTCCAGGGTTCCAACTCAAGGTGCAGATGCTGAAGATGAAGACGGCGATTCAGATATGTTCGAGCTGTATCTCGGCATGGGCATAGGATTTGCGGTCGGGTGGTGGGTTATCTGCGGAGCATTTATTTTCAAGAACTCCTGGCGGGTTGCATGTTTTCAGTACTACGATGATATGGAAAACAATTTTATTGTGAAAATGGATACTTTGCGAAGAAGGCCGAGATTGAGCAACTTCAGGGTCAGGGACGAAGGGCGAGTTACTAATATTATACATTGAGCTTACTTTTTGTGAGTATATCTGAATTATTGTGTTCTGAGTTCAGCAATGTCTTCCTAGTTGATGTTCTTGTGTTTGTCATCTCTCTTCTATGTTGTTTCCTAGATAAACTAAGGATTTCCCTGATCCTATGTACTGTGTTCTATTGAAACTTAGAATCATCAAACATTACGGTTTCCTGATATGAGCTTCAGGTTTCAAGAGGTCATGGGTACAAACATTATAAGCGACAGTTTAAATAAGGAAACCCCACTTAACTTTCAAGATTAAGAAAACCCCCTTAACTTCCAAAATGTCAGAAAGTCCCCTGAAGTATATGGATTATCACAACCCCCTCTGGCCCCGCAAAAAAAATTCAGATTTTATTAGAAAACTCTTTTCCACTTTGAGATTTAATTGGAAAAACCCTTAATTTAGGGTGTTTCTCATAAATATAAAGTTACAGAGCGTTTTATAATAAACCCTACATTTAAGAGCCCTGTTTATTCTATTTTGTCAACTTTCAGCCATCTGAAAAAAAAAACCCATTATCAGGGGAAAGAAACAGTTCAAAAGCTTAAAGTCAAATAGTGCCACAGTTTGTTCGAGAAAATGCTTCAATGATGGTGTGAGGGATGTTAAATATTGCATAGATAGCCTCTTTGTTTAGTCCTACACCGGGTAGAGTAATAGAACAATGCTACTCACATTGTATATATAGACCACAATACTAATAAATACAAATATCGTTTTTCTCTTGATTTACTCTATTTCTAACATGGTATTAGAACTATTCAATCAATTCCTTCCTTAAATCCCAACCCCACAAATCTAATCCGCACCACCGTGCATCAGATCTGCACTATCAAATTTGCACCAACGTGCATCAGACCTACACCAACGTGTACCAGATCTGCACCAACATGCATCAGATATGCACCATCGTGCATCAGATCTGCATCACCGTGCACCAGATCTGCACCATCGTGCACCAGATCCACACGACATGCACCCGATCTACACCAAAGCTCGACCAATAGAGCCAAAACCGCAACACGTGCATCAGATCTTCATAGATCTTATGCCAATCACTTGGCTCATCAAACAGATCTTCATAGATCTTACGCCAATCATTTAGCATACCAACTAGATCTTCATAGATCTTATGCCTGTTGACCTTCTTGTTTTGATAATGATTTACAAACAATTTACTTCTAATGTTGTTTGTCTAGTGATTGTGTTTTTGTATCAATTGTAGACAAACAACATGTTGGAGGATGGATGGATTGCGCCATAACAATCTTATCAAATGGAGGTTGGCGGAATAGTGGGTGAAGCCTATGCAATTCAAGTTGAAGATCCAAGTTCTAGCTTCATCCGTAATGTGTACCAAGTCAAGCTTATTGAAGATCAAGATCCAGCTTGGGTAACATTAGTTTAGGTTTATATTATGTGTGTTGGTACTTTAAGCTCAATCATATATACACACACATTATATTGGTTTCCTTGTATATATATATAGTTATATATATATATACACAACACAAGTTTTAAGTTTACATATATGTTTGGTTTCTATGTATATATATAGTTATATATATACATACATAGTTTGAGTTTTCATGTTCATAAATATGAAATCACATATTTCATATTTATTGTTGTGTTTTTAGAAAATATTGCATAGAATATGTATATTTGTGAAAATATTGTGTTTCTAGTTTATAGACTTTATAACAATAGTTTACATCTTTCTTTAAGTCTACAAAATTATTTTGTAAAGTTTCAAAACATGGTTTAGCCAAAATATTAAAATTCATATGTTTACATTTTCATGTTTTGGACTATTTTACAAAATGATGATATTTTACATTTGGGGAGTCTTTTTTAAAAACCAGCTTTTGTAACATGTTTATTATCATGTTTACAATTATTTTCCAAAGTTTTATATTTTTTGGAGTTTATTTGATATTTTTAAACCCAGTTTAAAGTTAAGTTTTTCTGTGCACTTCAGGTCTGTGCATGTTTAGTCGACTTATTAGTCTACTCATAAGTCGACTCACGAAGTGCAGCACAGTTATAATTTTTCTTCTGCTGAGTCGACTCATATAAGTCGACTCATAAGTCGACTCATAAGTCGACTTATGAAAGAGCCATTGCATAGTAACGGCTAGTTTCCAGTAGTGTTTTCTGGGGGCTTTTTTGTCTTTTTGTTGGGGTTTTTGCTGATGTTTTGGGTTCCTATATATACCGCCTTTGCTCTCATTTTTGGGACAACTAAGAAAATATTTTAATCAAGTTTAACAAGGGTTTAAGTTTTGTTTAAGTGTGTTTAAAAGCTTTTAAGCATTTTTGAGTTTGAGTTTGTGAAGATAATTTCACAAGAGCAAGTGGAGATCATCTTTTGGTGTTTGAGCATTCACTCTTCTCCCTCTCTCTTGTTATCTATAGAGAAGTTTTCTAAACTCAATTTCTAGCTTTGTATTTACATTGTTTATTGATTATCATCTCCATAAGCTAGATTTACATTGAGTTTCGTTTGTTTTGATTCTCTCTTTGTTCACACACAACCATTGAGCTTATTGTATTTACATTCATAGTATAATTTGGACTATGGGTTTGTGACCTAGAGAGTGAGCTTACATTGAGTTCTCACCTTGTATTAGAGAACAAACACTTTGTTATTGTGCCTAATTATGTAGATCACTTTGTATTACACTTGTACACCGAGAGGAGTGTGTGGTGAGGACGGAGTCGATAACGAGAGGAGTGGCGTTGGTGGCCTAGTGAGAGGTGATAATTTCGAGCACTTGAGGGAGTCGATACGTGAGGACCAACACTTGAGGTTGTAGCTTGTGTATGTACTTTGTGAGGTTTTGTGAGAGTTGTCGGTTAACTTGATAACCGAGTGTGTAGAGTTTTCGGTTAGCTAGAAAACCGAGTGTGTAGAGAAGTTCCGGCTTCCAAACCGGGTTGTGATAGTGAAGATTCCCTCGAGGTGAGGAGCGGGGATGTAGGTTGTGGGGATCGAACCTCGTGAACATATCGTTTGTTTGTGATTGCATTGGCGCACTTTCTTTTGTGTTTATCATTATATCGCCTTTGTTAATTGCTCATTGTTTATATTGCCCACTATCTTATTTGTCTTGTTTATAGATTGTTTACCCTTGTGTTATTTATATATCATGGCATATATTTTACCATATATCTCATTGCTAGGATATATCTCTTTGTTCATATTGCATATTCTTGCTCATATCATATTGTATATCTATCTTACAAGAATAATTCTTGAATAAGTTTTAATTGACATTTAAATCAGATTAGATTAGCATAAACCCTATTCACCCCCCTCTAGGGTTATTTCCTAGTGGCATTAGGGTCTAACAATGCCGATCATTTAGCTTATCAACCAGATCTTCGTATATCATGTGTCAATCACTTGACTTATCAACCAGATCTTACGCCAATCATTTGGCCTACAAATTAGATCTTCATAGGTCCTTAGCTTTGTCAATTAGATCTCCCTAGATCTTAAGCGATAAGTTTTTATGATGACGCCAGAAATGCACTTTCATCAACAATCCATCGTTGTAAAACTCGACTGTGATAACTATCGCATCTGGTCCTACTCCCTACGAGTCATCCCTTGTAGTCGTGGGCTTTGGAAACACATTGATGGCACCTCAAAACCTCCAACTCAACCACTTCCTACCAGTGATCTGACTAAGGATACGGCTGCGCTGTCCTCTTATGAGTCTACCCTTATGACTTTGACTCTTGCTGAAGATCGTGCCATCGTCGTAATCGTATAATCTGTCTCACCCCCCATTCGACTCTAGCTCGCACGATTTGACACTGTCATATCCCTCTAGGCATATCTCCAGTTCCTTTACACATAGTCAGATGACGCTCAAGAGTTTCAACTATACCAAGAGACATCCATGGTTACACAGGGTGATTGCTCAATTCGCGAGTTTTATACCCACATCTTTGACGTCTAGGAACAACTCGTAGCCTTTTAAAAACCCCTTACAGACCCAACTTCTAGGACCATTCATCATAATAACAAAGATAAAAACGTCTCTTTCAGTACCCGATGAAGCTCCGACCAGAGTTTGAATCCGTCCGTAGCCAACTCATCCACCAGTGACTTAGACCAACTCTTGAAATAGCTGTGATAGAGTTACAAGCTGAAAGAAACACGTCTTGTCACCTCAAGCACTCTCATCATCCTGGCTCCATCCATGCACTCCGATGCTCAGCCACTCACCATGGTCCTCCTTATCAACAATACACCACGTTGACGAGACAACAACATGGCTTCACCTCAGCACGCAAAGAATGGTGTAACATCCACAAGGTCTGTGGATATTCTTTAGATAAGTGTTGCGCAAGGCTAGCTAAGGCATCGCCCCCAATGCCCAAGGTGACTATCACTAAAATTCCATTTACATCCACACCATCATCCTACACTGATTTTTTTATTGCTCAATGTATGAACCTTTTCCTCAATCCTTGAAGAACTTGACATCTCTCAAAGTTCTTGATCTCTCTGTTAACAATTTCAATGGGTCTCTTCCAGAGAGTCTCATAGAGCTCTCTCAGTGGGAAAGCTTAGATCTTCATAGCAATTTCTTACATGGGTTGATCCCCGGAATACTTAGTCACCTCTGCAATTTGCGTCGTTTAGTGCTCTTAAGAAATAATTTTGTTGGAGATATGTCCCATATGCTACGAGGTCAAACTAGATGCAAGAGATTTACTTTGGAGGAATTAGATTTGTCGTTTAACCAACTAAAAGGGAGCTTACCTGATTAGGTTAGGCATATGCAAGATCTCAACATGCTCGATCTTTCTTATAATGTGTTAGGTGGCGTTATTTTAGATACTCAGCTCACCAATATGAAAAATTGAAGAAATTGTCACTTACTGGTAACAGGTTGATTCTTAACATGAGCTCCGCTTGGGTGCCTCCTTTCAAGCTAAACACTATAGATTTGAGATCTTGCAGAATGGGTCCTCGGTTTCCTTCATGGCTTAAGGCACAAAGAGGATTTAACTATTTGGATATATATGATGTAGGAATCCTTGATATGATCCCCAGTTGGTTTCCTAATGCATCTTATGCAGCCGATTATTTGAATATATCATATAACCAGATAAGAGGTGAGATTTCTACGTCGCTGAAATTTCTAAATGCCACAGTCATCGACATGAGCTC